TAGAGTGCCTAGATGACAACTTCTTGAGACAAGAAATTGACAGCCCTACTCGAGGAGATCCATTGTTGGACCTGTTGGTCACAAACGCAAGCGATATCATCAAGGATGTCAAAGTTGAAGGCAGCCTGGGCTGCAGTGATCATGCCCTCGTGCAGTTCACTGTCCTAAGAAATTTGAAGCCCATGAGAAACACAGTTAAGTCTCTAAATTTTAAGAAAGCAAACTTCCAGCTCTTCAAGGAGTTGGTAAAGAGGACCCCATGGGAAACAGCCCTCAGGGACAAGGGAGCGGAACAAAGTTGGCAAATCTTTAAGGATACTCTCTATAGAGAGCAAAAGATCTCAATCCCCACATGTAGGAAATTGGTCAAGGAGGGCAATAGACGACCATGGTTGAGCTGTGACCTGCTGGTCAAACTAAAGGGCAAGATGGGGCTACACAGGAAATGGAAGGGACAGGCATGCTGGGAAGAGTATGGGGACGTTGCCCGGTTTAGATGACAACTTCTTGAGACAAGAAATTGACAGCCCTACTCGAGGAGATCCATTGTTGGACCTGTTGGTCACAAACGCAAGCGATATCATCAAGGATGTCAAAGTTGAAGGCAGCCTGGGCTGCAGTGATCATGCCCTCGTGCAGTTCACTGTCCTAAGAAATTTGAAGCCCATGAGAAACACAGTTAAGTCTCTAAATTTTAAGAAAGCAAACTTCCAGCTCTTCAAGGAGTTGGTAAATAGGACCCCGTGGGAAACAGCCCTCAGGGACAAGGGAGCGGAACAAAGTTGGCAAATCTTTAAGGATACTCTCTATAGAGAGCAAAAGATCTCAATCCCCACATGTAGGAAATTGGTCAAGGAGGGCAATAGACGACCATGGTTGAGCTGTGACCTGCTGGTCAAACTAAAGGGCAAGATGGGGCTACACAGGAAATGGAAGGGACAGGCATGCTGGGAAGAGTATGGGGACGTTGCCCGGTTGTGTAGGGATGAAGTCAGGAAGGCCAAGGCACAGCTAGAACTGACCTTGGCAAGGGATGGAAAGAAAACCAAGAAAGGTTTCTACAGAACCAGAAAAGGAAGGTTAAAGAAAATGTCCCCCCCCTGATAAGCAGCAGCAGGGACAAGGGAGCGGAACAAAGTTGGCAAATCTTTAAGGATACTCTCTATAGAGAGCAAAAGATCTCAATCCCCACATGTAGGAAATTGGTCAAGGAGGGCAATAGATGACCATGGTTGAGCTGTGACCTGCTGGTCAAACTAAAGGGCAAGATGGGGCTACACAGGAAATGGAAGGGACAGGCATCCTGGGAAGAGTATGGGGACGCTGCCAAGATGTGTAGGGATGAAGTCAGGAAGGCCAAGGCACAGCTAGAACTGACCTTGGCAAGGGATGTAAAGAAAACCAAGAAAGGTTTCTACAGAACCAGAAAAGGAAGGTTAAAGAAAACGTATCCCCCTGATAAGCAGCAGTGGGGAACTTGTATCAACGGACGAGGAGAAGGCAGAACAACTTTTTTGCCTCAGCCTTCACTGGCAACCCCTTTCCTCCTAGCTCTCATGTTGATGGCCCACAAGTTGGAGACCAAGGTGACAAAGTCCCTCCCACTGTAAGTGAAGACAAGGTACGTGATCAACTGAGGAACCTGAAGATATACAAGTCTGTGGGAACTGATAAGATACATCCCAGAGTCCTGAAGGAACTGGCTGACGTAGTTGCCAAGACACTTTCCATGATATTTGAAAAGTCATGGCAACCAGGTGAAGTCCCTGTGGACTGGAAGAAGGGGAACACCACACCCATTTTTAAAAAGGGTAGAAAGGAGGACCCTGGGAACTACCAACCTGTCAGCCTCACCTCTGTGCCTGGGAAGATCATGGAATCCAGCCATTCTCCACCCAACCTGGATTTGTGCTTGGGATTGCCACGTCCCAGATGCAGGACCCTGCACTTGGCTTGGTTGAAATTCATGAGGTTTGCACAAGCCCACCTCTCCAGCCTGTCCAGGTCCCTCTGGATGGCATCCTTTCCCTCCAGTATGTCGACCATGCCACACAGCTTGGTGTCATGACTCTATCCCACTGTCCATGTCTCCAACAAAGATGTTAAACATCTCTGGTCCCAGTACCGACTGCTGAGGAACACCACTTGTCTCTGGCTGCCACTTGGACATTGATCCGTTGACCAAAACCCTTTGAGTGAGGCCATACAGCCAGCTCCTTATCCACTGAGTGGTCCATCCATCAAATCCATGACTTTCCAATTTTGAGACTAGGATGTTGTGCAGGACAGTGTTGAAAGCTTTGCATAAGTCCAGGTAGATGAGGTCTGTTGCTCTGCCCCTGTCTACCAAGGCTGTGGCAATATCGGAAAAGGCCACCAAATTTGTCAGGCACATCAAGTCCAGATGGAAACCAGTCACAAGTGGTGTTCCTCAAGGGTCCGTGCTGGGGCCGGTGCTGTTTAACATTTTTATCAATGATATAGACAGGGAGATTAAAGGCACCATCAGCAAGTTTGCGGACGATACCAAGCAGTGTGGTGGTGTCGATACACCAGAGGGACGGGATGTCATCCAAAAGGACCTGGACAGGCTGGAGAGGTGGGCCCAGGTGAACCTCAGGAGGTTCAACAAGAGCAAATGCAAGGTTCTGCACCTGGGCTGGAACAATCTTCACCATCAGTACAGACTGGGGGGTGAAGTGTTGGAAAGCAGCTCTGAGGAAAGGGACTTGGGGGTGCTGGTGGAGGAGAAGCTGGACATGAGCAGGCAGTGTGCAACTGCAGCCCAGAAGGTCAATCCCATCCTGGGCTGCATCAAAAGATGCGTTGCCAGCAGGTCCAGAGAGGGGATTCTGCCACTTTACTCTGCTCTGGTGAGACCTCACCTGGAGTATTGTGTGCAGGGCTGGAGCCCTCAATAGAAGAAGGACATGGACCTGATGGAGAGGGTCCAGAGGAGGGCCACAAGGATGATCAGGGGGATGGAGCACCTCTGCTACGAGGACAGGCTGAGGGAGCTGGGGTTGTTCAGCCTGGAGAAGAGGAGGCTCCGGGGAGACCTAATAGCAGCCTTCCAGTACCTGAAGGGGACCTACAGGAAGGCTGGGGAGAGCCTGTTTAGAAAGGCCTGCAGTGACAGGACGAGGGGCAATGGCTTCAAGCTGGAGGGGAACAGATTTAGACTGGAGATGAGGAGAGGGTTCTTCACTGTGAGGGTGGTGGAGCACTGGGACAGGTTGCCCAGGGAGGTGGTTGAGGCCCCATCCCTGGAGATATTCAAGGAGAGGATCGATGAGGCCCTGGGCAACCTGGTCTAGTTGGGGGTGTCCCTGCTGACTGCGGGGAGTTGGACTAGATGGCCTTTGGAGGTCCCTTCCGGCCTGGGCAATTCTATGATTCTATGATTTGCCCTTGGTGAAACCATGTTGGCTGTCACCAATCACCTCCTTCTTTTCTATGTGCCTTAGCAGAGATTCCAGGAGGATCTGCTTCATGATCTTGCCAGGCACAGAGGTGAGATCCACCAAGACCGCACCCAAGAGGGGACAGAGGCAGGAGGAGGACCCTGTGGCCTCACTCCCAGGGCAGGAGAAGACAATGAAGAAAAAAATACCTGGGGCAGGGCTGCATTTCCAGGACTCATTTCTGGTGTTTGGCACAACATCGCGGTGTGGTTTCTCCAGAAAGAAAACCAAAAAGATGCAGCGGGACACATGGGGTGGCCCACGCTGGGTTGCCTCCCCACCCGACACCTGATGGCCATTTTCACCTTGCCAGGGACTTTGTCCCCCCCAAGCTGTTGTTATGGGCTGAACCCATTGGCTACCCCAAAAATGGGAGTTTTCTGCCCGGTGGGGAGGCTTGGCTGTGGCACAGAGCGATGTCGGGGCAGGGAAACGCCACCCCCCCCATCCCAGCCCTTTGATTCCATCCCTTTGAAAACAGCCCCAAAAAGAGCAATTCCCAGCCAGGCGTCCCCCGGCACAGGGGACAACTCACTCTTGGACAGTGTCCCCTCACCCAAAGGGACGTGGGGAGGGACAGGGCACTGCTCCGTGCCCCGGCGCCCTTGGTGAAACCATGTTGGCTGTCACCAATCACCTCCTTCTTTTCTATGTGCCTTAGCAGAGATTCCAGGAGGATCTGCTTCATGATCTTGCCAGGCACAGAGGTGAGATCCACCAAGACCGCACCCAAGAGGGGACAGAGGCAGGAGGAGGACCCTGTGGCCTCACTCCCAGGGCAGGAGAAGACAATGAAGAAAAAAATACCTGGGGCAGGGCTCCATTTCCAGGACTCATTTCTGGTGTTTGGCACAACATCGAGGTGTGGTTTATCCAGAAAGAAAACCAAAAAGATGCAGCGGGACACATGGGGTGGCCCACGCTGGGTTGCCTCCCCACCCGACACCTGATGGCCATTTTCACCTTGCCAGGGACTTTGTCCCCCCCAAGCTGTTGTTATGGGCTGAACCCATTGGCTACCCCAAAAATGGGAGTTTTCTGCCCGGTGGGGAGGCTTGGCTGTGGCACAGAGCGATGTCGGGGCAGGGAAACGCCACCCCCCCCATCCCAGCCCTTTGATTCCATCCCTTTGAAAACAGCCCCAAAAAGAGCAATTCCCAGCCAGGCGTCCCCCAGGACAGGGGACAACTCGCTCCTGGAGAGCGTCCCCTCACCCAAAGGGACGTGGGGAGGGACAGGGCACTGCTCCGTGCCCCGGCTGACGATGCACCAGCCCCAGATGCAGAACTCACAAACCCTGGGGAGCTGCACGTTAAGGGGAACCCGCCTGGGGCTGGAGGAGGAGGAGGAGGTCAGGGGGGACACACATGAACAGAGGAAACCATCAAGGTTAAACGAAGTAGCCCCAACATTGCATAACTCCAGCCCTTTCCGAGAAGGTCCGATGCCTTCCAGGAAGAGAGAAAGGGGCTCCTGGGGTGGTGGGATGGACCAGGAGGGCTGTGACCATTGCGCCAGCCACCACTGAGATAGATATAAACCCTTCCCCGAGGGTCCCCGTCTCCCCCCGGGGCAGGGTGAGACCCAGACGGGGCAGCGGCTGCAGGGAAGCTCCTCGGGAATTCACAGCAGGTTCCAGGGATTTGGGCTCCTTCCTCCCGGCAGGTGGGTAACCAGGGTTTGTCCAAGGGCCCCCAGAAACCATGGGGGAACATGAGGGGGCTGCAGCCGTGCGGGGACCAGGGTGCTGCCCCCCACACACCCCACTGTGAACCTTCCAAAAAGCTCCTGGGGAGTGGGGAGGGACACCAGCTGCCATCACCATCAATGCCTCCTTGTCACAACCTTTGCCATTTTCAGAGCAGAGGGGCTCCAGCCATTGGAGCATCTCCATGGCCCTCCAACGCACCCTTTCCAACAGGTCCATGTCCATGGAGAACCTGGTGCTGGCATTGGTGTTGCTGGCCGGGGCTCTGGCCATCAGAAACCCCCTGCAATGGCAGGACCTGGGGCCCAACACCGAGATCAAGCTGGACGAGGCCCGCAACTCCTTCGATGACCAGTACCAGGGCTGCATCCCCAAAATGAATCAAGAGCTGGAGAAGATCATGACCACCGAGTTCGCCAGAAACCCAGTCTTCAAGAATACCTGGGCCAAGGCTGTTGAGGCATGGAAGGGGAAGGGTAGTCCTGTCCCCAAGACACCGCCGCTGCAGAAAGAACATGTGATAGCCCTCATTGCGTACAGCATGCACGAACCCCTGTACTCGGAGTTCAACACGGCCGTGCGTGAGGGTGGGCGCTCCCACAAGGAATACATGGAGAAATTCCAGTTCAAGGCGATGCATTTCCTCCTCACCCAGGCCGTGACAATCCTGCAGAACACAGGTGGCAGTTTCATTCCCACAAACTGCCACCAGGTCTACCGGGGCATCCGGAAGATCCACTTCACCGCCCAGCGCCAAGATCTCATCCGCTTCGGCCAATTTGCCTCCAGCTCCCTCAGAAAGGATAAAGCTGAGCAGTTCGGCACCGACACCTTCTTCTCGGTGTACACCTGCTATGGTGCCCTCATCAGGAACTTCTCCTTATTCCCTACTGAGGAAGAGGTCCTCATTCCACCCTTCGAGACGTTCCAGGTCACCAACATCACCAAGAATGGGAAGAGTACCTACATCCAGCTCAAGTCCAAGGGCAGATTCAGCACCTACAACTGCGAATGGTTGAAAGGTGACATCCCCCATTACGGTCCCTCCATCCCCCCCAAATGGTCCCTCCATCTCCCGAAATGGTCCCTCCATCCCCTGGGTTGGTCCCACCATCCCCTGGGACAGTCCCTCTCTGCCACTGGGTGCATGATATGGCACAGTGGAGGATAGCATGGCACAGCGTGGCATGGCATGGCATGGCACAGCACGGCATGTTGTGGCACAGCACGGCACGTTGTGGCCCAGCGTGGCCGTGGCGAGGAGCCTGCAGGGCCCCTCCAGACGTTGTTGGTCTCTTTGGCAGAGAAACGATGCAAGGACCAGCCGTGGGACTTCAGCGCAGGTGAGACCAGAGCCCCCACTGCCAATGGGGGGGTGATGTCCAGCTGGGCCACCCCTCACCCCCCATAATCTCTGACCCCCCCAGGCAGGACCATCCTCGGGGACCTCCCTGCTCCTCTGGGGGCTCCACCTGGAAGACACAGCCCTGGCAGCCGCAGGGGGAACCTGAGCCCTGATGCCATCACACCACGGCGAGGGAAATGGGGCCGGGATAGAA